TTTTGCTCCAGAATGTATATGTTTTATAGCAGACAGGGGACTGCCATTAGCTTATAACAATGCTCATTTTATGGTCACTCACCAGAATTTATCTTCTGCTGGTAGACAGAGCAGTCAATTAAAACACCCACATGACTTTCACATTTTTTATTTCTTCCTGCCGCTGATTCTCTCAAATACTTTTTTTTTTAAAAATTTTTTAAATGTTACTAAAACCATTTTTAACTGACGATTTTTTATTTGTATTCTTAAATAATAATTTAGAATGCACTGTTTAGCATTAGTAATTTGCCCTCTCCCGCTTCCCACCATATATTTAAGGAAACCCTCAATGTAGCATAGACATACCTGGAATCCAGGTAAGAAGCTCCACTAGGTGGTTTCCCCGCCCTGTCCGAAGTCACTCCTTCCCTCACAAGGTCCAATCAAATGTGACCATTCTCACAGGCTCAGAGCACATGTGCACTCTGAGCAGGGAAAGGAGGTAGTGCGGTTACACATGGTATGGAGTGGATGTCATAAAGTATTAAGTAATGCAGGGAGAGGGGAAGAGCTAAAATAAGGGAGGGGGAGGACAATGAAATTTCACTTTCCAGCTCTCCGCACTGGCTGCAAGGTTAGAAGCTGATTACGTCTGTTGCCAGCCTGCCGTGCGCGCTGACGACGCGTCATTTTTGCACAGAATTCACAATAAGATAGCCAGTTTGCTGGGGATGTAACGATCCCTTGGCACAACAGTGCAGCCATCTCTGTACATAGCAGTGTTTCAAGCAGAATCCTATGACCTAAAATCAGATGTGGTGATGATGGTTGCAGTAACCCTGTAAACATGTCCTATTAAATAGATGAGAAATCCCAGTAGGTTATTTTTTTGACCCTGTGCTTAGTTGGCAGTATGGACTAAATCCTGCAGTATATTCTACCTGCAGGCCATGCTACAACTCTGGCACAACATTTCAAGTCCTGTGTCATTAGACAAGTGTAAAAGATACTCCCCACTGAAAACCTGGAGGGTCCATGGCCCTTTCACAGGGGGTGAATCTTACTCAAAAATGGCTAACGCGAAAGTTGAAATTTTGAGCACTGCTACTCAAGGTAATACGAACATGGATAACAGTCGGGGCAAAAAAGTCCCTGGAATTATCTGTGTCAACATTTGCACTGGCTTAATAACAACCATGGTGGGAGCCATAACCTGACAATGTCAATAGGGTTTGAAGCTTTTAACCCCTACATTCTGTGAGGCCTTTCACCATGTCTGCCTGTCCTAGAGTGACTGTGCCTAATGCAGGAGCACGTTGTTCGCAGACCATTTGCAGGTGACTGAAATGATATTTATAAGGGATATAATAAATATGAGCATCGCAAAGCCCTGAACAAGTCTCCTTTGCGTAGGCCTCTGAAGAATGCATATGAAAAGCAATAGTCTCCCATCTGTCAGCAGATTTCTATTGGGATCTTGTGTTCAGTTTTCACTGGATACAGTTTAATCGCAACAACAACCAAGTTTACATAATTACAGTTACAAACACGAGTCCGTTAAGCTGCAGAGATGGCATTCCACGCAGGAGCTTAATGGCCATAATAAACTGATACCTTGTTTTGCTGGGAAAGGATTTGCTCAGAGTCGGCTGTTTTCCTCCTTCGCAAAAGTTTGTAAGCAGATCTCCAAATATTTGCCAAGTTTTTGAAATCGGAAGAGCTAGATTAGCCGCTTGGTTTCTAGTCGCTGTGTGAGGCTTAATGTCATAACGGTTGTTTTCGTTACAGTCTATTTCCTGATTAATCTCCACTGCTCAGGTTTACTAACGAGAGGTGCTCTATGGAAAACTAAACCTAGCAGTAAATCCACTTAATAGGTACCTAGATATAGCTCATCAAATGGCAAAGAACAGATTTTAAAAAATTGCTCATTTTAACTATTTGCGATCTGTGTCATCCTAACATCATGGTTCAGTCTTGGCTAATGTTTTGTTTAGACAGTCTCCCATAATGATCACCGTGGGAAATGCAATCCAGGACAGCTGGGCGGCCATGATTTCTCTATAGTTTTGCTAAGTGTGCGTTACACAGGATATGTCCTGGTAGCGTGGGATTTTACAGACCAGATTAAGACTGCATAGGCGGCTGTTGCACCTTAAAAAAAAAAAAAAACACACAAAACTTTAACTTTTTTTTATTTCTTTTTTATCTAAAACAGAACGTTCAGAACTCTGTCAAATTCACTGGAAATGTTGGTAAACTCGCTATTTGTGTTTTATGTATGAAAAACCTAGCATGTTTATTAATGGATCTCTGCCTCTTCTTTAAAGATAACATTTGCAGCCAGATTATCGTGAGCAGGAAAGTTCTGAATTGTAATTACTGGATAACCTTCTAATGCAGGCATACTTAAAGTTGCAAAACACAACAAGAGTTTGGGTTTCACAGGGATCCTCAAACAGATGTATGTCTAATAGCATCTCGGTAAATTGTACACAACTTTACCAAAATGTTCCAAAAAGAAAACAAACGGGGCCAGTGTCTGATTATAGTTAATGGCATATGCACAAACACTGCATTTCGATTCTTCGTTGTATAGAGTCGCTGTGTCTTTACAGCCGTCTGTAAATCTGATCCACCGAGTAATGTCATTTTGTTTCCCTTTGTAGTATAGACAAAGAGAGCCAGGATCTTTACCAGGAACTTAACGATCTCAAGAACAAGTTCCAAACCATGAGAAAACTGGTCAATGGCATGCCTGGTATCGACCTGAATCCGGATCAACAGCAACAGCATCTGCAGAGTCTGCGGCAACAGGTACAGACCAAGAATGAACTTCTTCAAAAGTACAAGAGCCTCTGCATGTTCGAAATACCGAAAGACAACCTGTAGCTGTGCAGTCCTTTTTGTAATATGACTTCCATAGAGATGGTGGATTAAACATTTGTCTCCGAAATCCCGTTCAAACTTTGAAAAAGCAACTGCGAGAACTTCGGAAGATGTCATCGATGTTGCCTCAAAAAACCTGTGGATGGTTCTCCAGTACTGGGGTTACCGGGTTCAGATAAATCACAGCTGAGCTTGAGATAATATTTAATAATGAGACACTGGGCGAACGGCATAACCTGTTTTTGAAACACAAGACATCTTGCCATTGATGGGTAATCCGTTTAAACCTGCAATACAGTGTCACGGTGCTGAATGCTCTATAGAATGGGAATGACTAAGAATTACCTTTTCCATAGGATTGTGTTTGTTTTTATGTTTTTGTATTTAACATTTTGACCAATAAGAAATGCTTTGGTATCCAACCTATTTTTCATTCTTGTTAAATGTGTTTGGAGCACACTGGTATCCTGAAAATAAACTTTAAAATTAAACAATAGGGTTTAAATACTATGTATTTATGCAAAAATAATTACATCTATACAACTTAAACAGGTTTCAAACCTTTCAGCGTTAAAGATGGCATATGATGAGTTGTTACTGCAATAGGAGATTTGACAACTCTAATTTTGAAGGGGTTAAAATTAATTTAAAAAAAAATTAAAATGTAATCTCTGCTTTTGTGGGGACTAAATATTTCCCAGCATAAACAGGCGATCGTCCTTACCCATCTTTGTGCTATAAATTGTGTATGGCAATCAGAAACTGCCCATAATACCAAAAGCATAGTGATTTACTATGCCAAGCCGGCGTTTGTATTAGAACAAACTTGTTTTTATGATTACTTGATATAAATTGTATTTTTCCTCAAGGGATGTGTTCATTTCAATTTGTTTGTTTGTTGTAATGCTAAAAGCTTACTTGTAGTCATTTAGAATGATTATGACCTTGGCAGTGTGTCACCAGTAGCGTCATAGCGGAGTGTGTGTCATATCAGTTAACAGTGATTTAAAGGTGGGAATCTTCTGTATACAAAATGCAGCTTAACTGTTACTTCCATCATAATCTGATTCACATGCCATTGTCTCAATGGGCCTTGGTCTGTGTTCTTGGAGAAATAGCGTCCTTGGATACTTTTCCAGCATAAAACTACAATTTATTGTGCCTCTTATGAAATCTTTCTCAGTTTATATTCTGGTGTAGTCCTTGGTGAGTTATGGAATGTTAGAGAAATTTTGGGATGAGAGAGTTTATCCTTGTAACATTTTATTTTGTTAAACTGGGCACCAAAGAGATTGTGGTGAGGCCAAAAACAATTAAACTCCTCAACATATAAATAGAAAAAATCCTGTTTTGTATCATCTACATATCTTATGTTGGACTTTGAGAAAGCCTCCTTGGGCATGGAAACACAAGAAATCATGTTTCTACAACTATCCCAGAGTTCCCCACTTTATATGCAAATGAACACAGACTTTTTTTTTTTCTTCTGTTAAACTAATACATAGAATATGGATAGCTATTGGTGAGAAGCTGGAAAGGGTCTGGCTGCAATTATTCAAAATTTGTTGTATTCCTCCTTCAGGGCAGTACAGAACTATGGGAGATGTAGTCTAGCAACATCTGGTGGGCTGCTTCACCCACTGTGTACAACAACTCTAGCTGCTGATGGAGCTACATCTTTCTTCTGCTATTTTTATTTATTTTAGTTTTTTCTTGTGAGATGCTCTGTTTTTATTTTAAATTTATATTTAAGATTTAGCAAATTACATTATAATCCAGTTCACGCAAGGCTGAACCAAGGCAAACGTTGCAAATGAATAAGAGAAATGGAAAGATGTGTTGAATTTCTCCTTTTCCCTGTATGCTCTCTCTATGCTGACTGCCAGGTTTAAAGGGCAGAATTTATAACACTGATTGACAGGGAGCTAAGATGGGGGGGGGGCCATTTGCAGGATAAATAGGTACAGATTTTCATATTTGATTTTCACACGTGTATATTTATTAAATATATGGATAAGTAAACATTATATTAAATTTTTTGGGGGAATATTTGGGGTCCCAAGTAGACCTTTGCTAATCTAGGTGATGGAACCTGCTCTTACAATGAACCTTTACTATGGGTATCTGCACCACATTCCACTAGCAATCAAAGTGTGTCTCTCTTAGAATGTTAATTGAATCTTGACGTATATGCAGTGGTTGTTCAGCTGTCAGGTGATTTTGTTATTAGCATCTTTTAAAACAAAACCTGTGAGTTCTTGGAAGAAGACATGCAGAGATTGCACCGTGTCATAATAATGGTGTGTAGTAAGAATTTAATTGTTACCCGTGTCTTCTCTGGCTACACGTCCAGCCCAATGGTTGGTGTGCCGGGATGACTAATGCTCTGCGTTTTAAGAAGGAAACTGTGTATAGCTCTGTATTAGTCAGATTGTATTGTATTAAAAGCTTGCATCATTCCCGCTGAGTGCTTGATGGTTTGCTGATAAGAGGCAGACGCTAGCTGAAAGTTCTAAGAATTGATCCTAGTGAAGCATGTTTTGGTGATGTACCCGACGTATGCATTTAATGACTGGCACAACTCATTAACAGCACAAAGAGCTCCCTGTATTTTTATTGGAGATATTCACTGTATAATGGCATTCTGGGGCTTTAAATTAGAAATTCACTCCTCAGACTTGATTACCATTTTTGTAGATCTGTTTAAGCTAGTTTGGAAATATATTTGTGTGTGATTGTTAGACATATTTTGTATGTTTAGATTTTTTATTTTATTTTTTATTAAATTTTTTGAATAGGTTACTCCAGACACCATAACCACCTCAGTGATTCGAAGTGCTCATGGTGCCTGAAGTCTTTATGTCCAGCATTTCACATTGAACTCTCCTGGTGTAACTCCTTCGGCAGCATCATTGTTGTGTTGTAAGCCAGCCCAGAACGAGAGTTATAGGCCGGCTGATGTCAATTCTGTGCAAATGTCGACGCACAGACACTCATTCAATGGCTGAATGTGTCATCTGACTGCTAACAGCCAATCAATTAGCAGCAGAATCGCCATGTCGCTTCTGCTGCTCTACGGAAGTGAGATATCATGCCTTTTATTTATAGAAAACTATTCGCTCCATTACCTGGGAACTGGATGTTCAGACGGCTGTAGTGGTTATGATGATTGGATTAACCCATTCATTTTAATAATAATGCAATTGGCTTCTGAAAGGGCTCCGGCACGAGTTTATCCCCATTTCTACCTTATCTCTCCCAATAAATATCTGCAATCAGCTCCTGCAGATGTGACTGGCTTTTTATTCACTAATTATCTAATCGTAAAATTGGGCCTAATATAGTGAAGCTAAATCAAGGAATGTTTCCATATCTGCAATTTTCTCCAAGATTTTGCCATTCTTGTTTTAATAACCTGCAATTCGTTATTTAGTTCATGAAACCTATTTACTGGTTTTGGGCAAACTGATTTAGCTACAATCCAATAAACTATAGCTATAGAACTTACTGTGACCCTTTCATTCAAGCAGTCACGATAAGGTTAACCAGTTAAAGGGTATTTGTGGTCTCCTAATTTACAGAACATGCAAACTCAATTCTAAAAAGCCTTAAAATTGCTTCTAAGACAGACATTGCTTGAAACATATACCCAAAGTGTGAAATACAGTAAATAGAATACAATAAAGGGAGGAGATACTGAATCACAGGATGCTGTGCACAGTGCTGCCCTGTGCTCTGCTGACAGCAGATCTGAGTGGATGGAGGCATATTATGCCTCCATCAACTCCGAAGTCCCTCTGGTTCACTCTGAGTGACTGCAACTGGAGGTGTTCCTAGCTTTCAATGTAAACACTGTATTTTCACAGAACATACAGTGTTTACATGAGAGAGGCTGCAGGGAGCTATAGTTCTCACCTGAACAACCTCATTAAGCTGAAGTTGTTCAGGTGACTATAGTGTCCCTTTAAACCAACAGCCATTGATCTTGATAAAACCATTTTTCCTTCATATTTAATTTCTTCCCTCTTGCCTGGTTCTAGATTTTGAGCAGTTGAGGCATTCTATGTAATGTCATACACACACAGTATATATTAATCCCTTAATCGGCTATTCGATAAAAAAGTCCCTGTAAAAATACAGCTTTCACATAACCATTGTAGCCCTTTATTGTTTCCATGGTGATACAGGACTTTGAATCTGAGCTACCTGGAAAGTTTTAAGATCACTGTATGTGGCTGCGTTGAAGCAGGTTTATAAAGTGATTATTTATGTCTGTATTGTTCCTGATGGATTGTTTAAAACCCACACAGAAAATCTAAGATGAACAAGCCCAGGGATTTCAGGAATAAAAGCACTCTAATTGAGCCCTGAGGTTGTTGTGGGCGTTCGTTATCCTGCTGGCTTAATATTTAAATTAATAATAGGGCAAACACCAGGGTGGATATTAAGACCCACGTGTGTATTGTATTCCTCCCTTCACCCTGTAAAAAGCACATGTTTAATTGGAGGAGTTACACCCACAAGCAAACTACAAAAAAACAAACAAAAACCCTATCTCCAAATGTTGGCAACCCTTTCAAAGGGTTAATCTTTTTATGAATAAATGTTAATGGGAAAATATTGTGTAAAGGTGCAAAATCCTGGGCTTCTAATCATGAGGCGACACCATGTCTTTCTCAACAATATCAGCTCTGTAGAATCAAAGGGCTGCCACTCTCATTATGCTTAGGCAGCAGTTGGGTTTCCTGGAATTGGCTGTGTCATACCAGCTGGGTGGCACTGTAATGTGGGCAGTGCTGGCTAGCCCTGGCACCTTCACCTTTTTGTTTTCATTTGATTACCCAATACGTTCAGCCAGCCTTGGGAATGACAAAATATTCTTGGACTGTCTACAAATTACAACTCCCATGATCCCAAACAAGGTGAACTGTCATCACCAAACTTTTTTAGTATAATAATCCTTTTATCAAGTTCTGAAAGGAAACATGTTTTTAATGAAGTACATGTAAACAAAAAATAATTAGAAAACGTATACCTACCTTTGGTACATGGCCGGATCCTTCAGTGTATGTGTGTGTGTATATATAATAATATATAAACACTTTGGGTCAGACAGTGTTTAAATGTGACAGTCTCTATGGTTTTCCCTGCTTAACCCCTGCACAGAAACAGGGAAGATCATAGAGACTGTCAGAATTCAAACACTGGCTGACAGGGCCGATCCTAGGGTCACAGGCACCTGGGCACAAAATACATATTATTTGCCTCTCCGGGTGGATGTGGTCATTGTACGAAGCCCTCCCCTTTACATATGTCCAGTCTAGGCATGCATGTTTCTATGGAAACTAATTCATATCTCCATCTATAAGGTGACAGTATGCAGGGAGGCTGTGTTTCAGTGACCAGCCTCCCCACACTGAAATACCTCTTTCTTTTTTAAATTTGGTAATCGATTCCCTGGTGGTCCAGTGGCCTTGCTTGCCGGTCTGCAGCTCTGCGGTGTCCCGACCTGCAGACCATATGGTAGAGATCTCGCAAGCTTTGGCTTTAAGTGTCAGTGTTGCCTTGGTAACCTGTGGCAATGCTCTGATTGGCCAAGTTCGTGAGACCCCTAACTGCAGACCAGAGGAGCGGGTCTCTCCCCCCCCAGGCACACGGAGTGGAGGGGCACCAACCGGCCATATACGGGCAAGCCGCTGGGCCTCCTCCTGGTGTAATGCCCTCTGTCATGGACTGAGGACCTGACCAAATAATGTGCCCTAAGGCAAGGCCCCAGTAAGCGCAAGACCTTGGCACCCACCCAGGATAAGCCCTGATAACTGAAGGATCCCATTTTTATTAAGGTATGGATAGTTTATTTTTATTTAAAAAAACTAAAATTTTCAAAACTTGATAAAATGATTATATTAAACATTTTATTGTGATGGTTTTCCTTTAAGATTGCAACAGGTGGAGTACCAATAATCATTTTAAAACATAATGCCTATATGTGATTGACCCATTCTGATAATTTGTTACCCTGACTCAAAGCATGAGTTAAGAATTAAAGCAATGAACTGGATGTTAGACTGCAAAATAATTCAAAGTCTGCTATTCGGTTCTCATATTTGTAACTTGACAGTCAATCTGCAGTTTAATCAACAATCTCATAGTGATTGACTTGTACCACTCCTTTGTGATTACACAGTATGTACTGTAGGTGGCAGTGCATGACTGCCTACAGATGGCTGGACCCATCGGTTCCACTTGACTTGCTTTGTTAGTTGTACCATAGATAAGAAAAAATAAATAAAGTGTTGTAGGACATAATAGAAAACACAAATGTGTCAAACTTGCATATTCAGGAAAAGGACACCATAATTTGAAAAGGGAAAGTAGATTACACAGAATTAAGGGACGTAAGTATTTACTCACCCATTCTACAGCTGTAGAGTTAATGAAAGCTTAGTTTTTACATAATTCAGTTACTAATGTTTCAGCATCTACTGCTCATTCAAACCTCTGGGGCATAGGGTTTATGTCAGGCAGGGTCAGACCTATCGTGAAGAGGTTGTTTAAAGGAGGATCATTGAGCTAGGTGACAGTAATATGTTCCAGCACACACTTGCACTAGTAATTTTTTTTTTTACATATTTTTTTTTTATTTATTTTTTTAAGTCTAATGCATATGGGGACAAGAAAAATAAATAAAAAGCTTGCTGTATTGCAGGTTATTTGGTATCGCTTACAGGGAAATGATTCCATACTAACCAGTCACCAATCGATACGGCCATGTAAGGCTAGAGGTTACCAGACTAGTTTAACTGCCCGACGGTAAAAATATTTTAAAAAAGCAAGCTTTAGTCACCAACGTGTCACTTGGAGACACTGCAGCTTTTTTTTTTTTTTAAATGGACATTTAAACCAAAATATTGAGTCAGACCATTTTCAATCCCTGGTTACATTTTCACAGTAATAGTGAATAAACCCCTGTTCCCAGGATAGGGTTAAATAGTGACAGTCAGTTTAACACACCCTTGTGTTGACATGACGGCAATTAAACAGGGTTTTAATAATCGGCCAGACAAGCCCAGAGTGTGATTTAGTGCAGATTATTCATAAGATACAAAGAACACTGAACAGACAAGTTAAAGTTTACAAGCTTTATTTTCACATAGAAAAATAACACTTCAAAATAGCACAATGTAAAACATGTGAGTTTGTTCATATCCAGTCACAATACTCCAATGTGGTGTAAACAAGTCACTTTATAGTGCTCAAACTGTTTAATGGCACAGTTGCCATTTCTCTCATATCGTTCAGTCAAGATTTTAGTCCCTTAGAAAGCGGAGTGTCTTCCAATCATTCAACTTCCTCTGGTGAAGTCAGTATACACTACACTCCTCTAGCTTCACTTTGTACGAACTTTAGACAGATAGGATCTCACACTGTCCAAAATCAACTTTACAAGGCTAGGTTCGCCTGTCCACGGTAGCCTTGGCGGCCGACTAGCCATCAAAAGGCATGGGGGCAATTGTTACCCCTCTCGGACATGCCCTTTGGCTTCGATTTGTCAAGACGCCTTGATGTTTTCTGTTTCTCTATGTATATATTTATAAACGCCTTTATTTTGGGCAATTTAAAACTGGAGACTAGCTTATGACACATCGCTCCTTATCCTTACTCTGGCCACCTCCTATAGCCTTTTCCCTGATATACATCAAGTCACTGTGAATGCTAGGTCTCCGGGCAAAAGGGGCCACAATACCATAGGCGTCTTCATTCTCTTTGACTTTCTTTCCTTTTAAGGATTTCTTGTGCAAAATCTCACAGTACTGTACAGAGACCTTGCGGTGAAGGTCAGGGCTCATTTCACTAGGTAATTTGGCCAAGGTGAAGAGCTCCCGGAACATCTCATCCAACTTTGAGTTCTTCTTGGCAGACACCTCAAAGTAGGAGCAATTCTTGTCCACACCAACCAACTGCTCAATCTCATGAGCTTGCACCTCCCTGTAGAAGTCCCTGTCACCTTTGTTGCCACAGATAACAAGAGGGACATCCACATTCTCCTTGGTCTTGTTCTTTAGACAGGATTTTGTCTCAATGATCTGCTGCTTTAGACGCTGGACTTCCTCAAAAGAGTCTCTGTTGTCCAGGCTGAAGACCAAAATAAAGACATCTCCTGTAATAAGGAATAAAAAGAAAACAGGTCAGTATCTGCAAGAATAAATTAATAAATCCAACATACTAGATATTGCAATTTAGAACCAAGTTATAGCACATTCTACATTCCATGACTGCTTTTGTTTATTCCCTAGTGCAATGTTGTCAGTCATCCTCTGTTTGAAAGCCTGAGCGCTCACGACTCTCTCCAAGGTTTTTATTAACAGACATGAAGTAAATTCCCTGTGCGCTTTGTATCTGCTACAAGCAACTGGTTCATAAAATAAAATCACTGGCATGCATGTTGTCCATATATCCATTTGTAGCCCCTTCAACAAAATTTATATAAAAAACCATTATAACAATTCTAAAGTATTTTATAAATAATTCTCTCCTGGAGAGGAAAAAAATTGAAGAAAAAAAAAAATAGTAATAAAAATCCATATTAATCTATAGGGGATTAGCATGCAAGTTTCACAGCAACTACCCTGCAAAACGAGTACCCCTCATTCTAAGACCCAGTGCAATAAATATACTGCAAGATGCAATAATTTTAGGGTTCATAATATTAGCATTCAGTAATTTTGAGGTTCTAGCAGTTTTGGGGAGCAGTAATATTAGAGTTACAGTAGTTTTGAGGGTCTAGCAGTTTTGGGGAGCAGTAATATTAGAGTTACAGTAGTTTTGGGGAGCAGTAATTGTAGCATTCAGTAATATCAGAGTTACAGTAATTTTAGGCTGAGTGAACTGACCTGTGAGTATAGAGAGCCTCCTCATGGCTGGGAAGGGGTGATTGCCCGAGGTGTCCAGGATGTCCAGCTGGTACACCTCCCCCCGGATGCTGTAGAACTTGCGGTGGAAGTCCTCGATGGTCGGGGTGTACTGCTCCTCGAAGTGGCCGCTCAGGAAGCGGGACACGATGGAGGTCTTGCCCACCTTGGAGGAGCCCAGGATGACCATGCGGTAGCAGTTTTTGGGTGGGATGCTGAGCTCGGTCTCGCTGGGACCCATGGTTTTGATCATAGCGGTGAGACGGGCTCTCAGAGTGCAAGGCTGGCGGGGACTAAGAACCATGGAGACACTCAACACTGGGTCTGGGACCAACTGAGCTCCAACAGCCTGCGCTACCCTTTATATAGCCAGCCGGGACACGCCCCCTACTGCAACGTCATCCCCTTCTCAGAACTACTGCACTGACACTGACTGACAGCTATGCAGATACAGACTGATAGAGCAATACAGACACTGACTGACAGCAATGCAGATACAGACTGATAGCAATACAGACACTGACTGACAGCAATACAGACACTGACTGACAGCAATACAGATACAGACTGATAGAGCAATACAGACACTGACTGACAGCAATGCAGATACAGACTGATAGCAATACAGACACTGACTGACAGCAATACAGATACAGACTGATAGAGCAATACAGACACTGACTGACAGCAATACAGACACTGACTGACAGCAATGCAGATACAGACTGATAGAGCAATACAGACACTGACTGACAGCAATACAGACACTGACTGACAGCAATGCAGATACAGACTGATAGAGCAATGCAGACACTGACTGACAGCAATACAGATACAGACTGATAGAGCAATACAGACACTGACTGACAGCAATACAGATACAGACTGATAGAGCAATACAGACAGACACTGACAGCAATGCAGATACAGACTGATAGAGCAATACAGACACTGACTGACAGCAATGCAGATACAGACTGATAGAGCAATACAGACACTGACTGACAGCAATGCAGATACAGACTGATAGAGCAATACAGACACTGACTGACAGCAATGCAGATACAGACTGATAGAGCAATACAGACACTGACTGACAGCAATACAGATACAGACTGATAGAGCAATACAGAGACTGACTGACAGCAATACAGATACAGACTGATAGAGCAATACAGACACTGACTGACAGCAATGCAGATACAGACTGATAGAGCAATACAGAGACTGACTGACAGCAATGCAGATACAGACTGATAGAGCAATACAGACACTGACTGACAGCAATACAGATACAGACTGATAGCAATACAGACACTGACTGACAGCAATGCAGATACAGACTGATAGAGCAATACAGACACTGACTGACAGCAATACAGATACAGACTGATAGAGCAATACAGACAGACACTGACAGCAATACAGATACAGACTGATAGAGCAATACAGACACTGACTGACAGCAATACAGATACAGACTGATAGAGCAATACAGACACTGACTGATAGAGCAATACAGACACTGACTGACTGCAATACAGATACAGACTGATAGAGCAATACAGACACACCGGACTGACAGCAATACAGATACAGAGCAATACAGATAGAGCAATACAGACACTGACTGACAGCAATACAGATACAGACGATAGAGCAATACAGACACTACAGACTGATAGAGCAATACAGACACTGACTGACAATACAGATACAGACTGATAGAGCAATACAGACACTGACTGCAGCAATGCAGATACAGACTGATAGAGCAATACGCAGACACTGACTGACAGCAATGCAGATACAGACTGATAGAGCAATACAGACAGACACTGACAGCAATACAGATACAGACTGATAGAGCAATACAGACACTGACTGACAGCAATGCAGATACAGACTGAGCAATACAGACAACCAGCAATACAGACACTGACTGACAGCAATACAGATACAGACTGACAGAGCAATACAGACACTGACTGAAAGCAATGCAGATACAGACTGATAGAGCAATACAGACACTGACTGACAGCAATACAGATACAGACTGATAGAGCAATACAGACACTGACTGACAATACAGATACAGACTGATAGAGCAATACAGACACTGACTGACAGCAATACAGATACAGACTGACAGCAATACAGACAGACACTGACTGACAGCAATGCAGATACAGACTGATAGAGCAATACAGACACTGACTGACAGCAATACAGATACAGACTGATAGAGCAATACAGACAGACACTGACAGCAATACAGATACAGACTGATAGAGCAATACAGACACTGACTGACAGCAATACAGATACAGACTGATAGAGCAATACAGACACTGACTGATAGAGCAATACAGACACTGACTGACTGCAATACAGATACAGACTGATAGAGCAATACAGACACTGACTGACAGCAATGCAGATACAGACTGATAGAGCAATACAGACAGACACTGACTGACAGCAATGCAGATACAGACTGATAGAGCAATACAGACACTGACTGACAGCAATACAGATACAGACTGATAGAGCAATACAGACACTGACTGATAGAGCAATACAGACACACTGACTGCAATACAGATACAGACTGATAGAGCAATACAGACACTGACTGACAGCAATGCAGATACAGACTGATAGAGCAATACAGACAGACACTGACTGACAGCAATGCAGATACAGACTGATAGAGCAATACAGACAGACACTGACAGCAATACAGATACAGACTGATAGAGCAATACAGACAGACACTGACTGACAGCAATGCAGATACAGACTGATAGCAATACAGACACTGACTGACAGCAATACAGACACTGACTGACAGCAATACAGATACAGACTGACAGAGCAATACAGACACTGACTGAAAGCAATGCAGATACAGACTGATAGAGCAATACAGACACTGACTGACAGCAATACAGATACAGACTGATAGAGCAATACAGACACTGACTGACAATACAGATACAGACTGATAGAGCAATACAGACACTGACTGACAGCAATACAGATACAGACTGACAGCAATACAGACAGACACTGACTGACAGCAATGCAGATACAGACTGATAGAGCAATACAGACACTGACTGACAGCAATACAGATACAGACTGATAGAGCAATACAGACAGACACTGACTGACAGCAATACAGATACAGACTGACAGCAATACAGACAGACACTGACTGACAGCAATACAGATACAGACTGACAGCAATACAGACAGACACTGACTGACAGCAATACAGACAGACACTGACTGACAGCAATACAGACTGGGAAAGGGATAGAGTATTACCTGACAGGGCTGTATAGTGTATTGACAGCAATACAGACAGATAGACAGACAGCAATACATAGCTAGGGATGGGATAGAGTATTACCTGACAGGAATATGGAGTATTATTAGCAATATTACTGATATATAGTATTACCTGACAGGAATATAGAGTATTATTAGCAATATTACTGATATAGAGTATTATCTGACAGTAATATAGAGTATTATTAGCAATATTACTGATATAGAGTATTACCTGACAGGAATATGGAGTATTATTAGCAATATTACTGATATAGAGTATTACCTGACAGGAATATGGAGTATTATTAGCAATATTACTGATATAGAGTATTATCTGACAGGAATATAGAGTACTACCATCAATATTACTGATATAGAGTATTATCTGACAGGAATTTTATATATTATTAGCAATATACAGATATGTACTGGTATATAGAGTATTACCTGACAAGGATGACTTATTTTGAATTAAATTAAAGTCTCAAGCCTCCAAATGCCCTTAAATACTCCACATTATATTATTAAAACGTGCTACCACTTTAATAAGAAACTGACTGACAGATAGTTTAAAGTATTTAAATAGCAAACCAGGGTTATTCACTAAAAGAAGAATTGCTGAGAATCAAAACAATATATAAAAATAAATAAATTCAATTTATTACACTCAATACAGGCATGATGTATTCTGACCCACAGAGCTTGCACTCTAGCTAGCACAAGACAGCCCATGTGCAATGAGAGGGACGTGTCTATTAGCACTTTGTGGTTTTACTCACTAAATAGTGATTTAAAGTGAATTTAAAACCAAATCACAAAATTTGGGCACATTTTGGCCAGCAATCTAACAGTGAGGGTTACTGGTCTGTGTTTATCACCGATAGGGTTATATTTGCTAAAGCATGAATTGTGTGAATATCAAATTTAAGGCCAAAATAGGCAAACTGGAAACATTCTCCAAGTCAGCTACTTTTAAATCTCAGATAGAATGATGTTTTTAGCGAATAAGCCCTGCAAAGAGTTTGACGGTCAGTCTAAGGCAGAACATTCTGGCTCCCGTCCCAAAACACCATTTATTATTGTTTACAGCTGAGCCGCGTCTTCGACTTTCATAACCTAGCAAGCTGTGTACAGGACACTGCCTGCTTCTCTATTACCCGTAGTCCCCATGCAGGATGTTCATCTATCAGGGTTATGTACTAACTTACTGACGTGAGAATTGTACGAATTTAAAGTGAATTTCAAATTTAAGGCCAAACTTGCCGATTTGGAAAAATCACCCAAGTCAGCTCTACTTCCATTTCGGCTATTTTGTTCTAAAATGTAAAATTCACGTTGAATTCCCAATAATCCTCACTTTAGTGAATAACCCTATATCGCTTTGGAGCCAATTTGTACTATGATTTTTATTACGCTTCGCCATCTAAGGTTTGGCAGAGCATGATGGGAGTTGGAGTACACATCCCTGGAGAGTTGAAACCCTCCAATCACATTTTATTTTATTTGTCTTTAATTTGTTCAGATAGCTGGGCCTTTAAATTAACTCTTAGCAAGAATCTGGCTAATGTTTAGTAGGAAGCTATAGCGTTACACCTAATCTTCCTTAATTACCTTTCAATCTGCGGGATAAATATTTAACTCAACTAGCTTGTGTTTAAATTTTGCAATTCTGTTGTCATTTCACCAGAATTCGCTGTTTAGTGAATAAACCATTAGAACTTATTATGAGAACTTGACGTATGCTCAGTTCAGACTGCATTTTTGGTCTCTTCCACTAGAGGGAGTCAGAATGCATCCTTTGCATCCTGCAGTTGGCACAGTGAGACAAGGAGCTTGTCCCTTTTCCCATTGACAATCTCAAGATATATGACTGTGTGTGATTGCTGCACGTGGATTGGAAGAGATGTGAATGAAGGTTATCATCCCCTCAAATGGAAAAACATTCAGGAAATGATTTGAGCCAGCCTGGATTAAAATATATATACAAAATAATAATAAAATCTCAGCAATTCTATCTTCACAAAGTAATTATCTCAAATACACTTCCAGGATAGTTCATGTGTCACTAGTAGTGACGACAGGTGATATTAAACAGGCGTCATCGGGCACCGGAGGTGCTGGTATCTTTAACTCCCATCACCTCTTGCCATTTTGGAGCTGCTAGAGTAATGTGAGCTGGGGCCTGCAGCAGCCTTTTCCTGGTCAGGATTACTTCCCCATCAGTGACCACAGCAGCTTGAGTGCTTCCTCAGCTTGATGGGAGTTGCAGTACACAGCAGAGTGCTTTATTGCCATAATGGGGTTTATTCACAAAACCGCAAATTGTGGTGATTCATTTCTTAATAATTTTAGTGACAGATCATTCCAAATAAAGTACTTACAGGGAACATTGAGTAGAAGTGCTCTACCATTGAGGAATGGTTAAGAAAAGTGAGAAATAAATTTATGTTAATAAATGTCATGCTAAGATGTCTGTTTTCATGCTGGTGAGATAGCTCAGTTAGTTAATAAACCAACTGAAGTGCAAGTTAAAACCTTACGGCTTCAGGTTGGATTCCTATAAGAGACAGCTCATTGGTTCATCCTTACAAAGTTTACACAAAAAATATAACTAAGATGGGCAGCGGCAACATTTGTTTATCAGCTACCAATTCAGGAACTGTTGAAACAGTTTGAACCCTTTTTGGCTTGGAATAAACCTATATGAGAAATAGACCAGTATGCACTTTTTTTTTTTTTAAATTCCCTGTTATCATCTAGTTGATCGATTTTTCCAGCACGTGTAAAGCCCGTCTGACTATGTAGAAAGTCGAATAGTGTATCAACAACTTTTAATCATTTTGGTAATAAATAAAAAAAAAAATTAAAAAACTTAGCAAATGGGTTGTAGCTGGGTCTTCGAGACTACAAATTGGATATTAATTGCACATTATCAGTCACTGAACAGTTATTAATAACTACAAATCCATCTATAAATAGTCAGTCCGAGGCCTCGTTTTCTCTGTACCTTGTCCAGGCCAATCAGAAAGCAATTAGACATCTTTAATCATTAGCAATATGACAGCGAGAAGCACAGTAAGCCACAGTGGTGACTGGCACGGTGCAGGCCATATCCTTAATGCCGGTACTCAGTGCTGTGTCTATCCCTGTGCCAGAAGCTTAGTACATTGAGTTTCTAAGTATTCTTTCTAAATATTGCAAGGGAACTTCTTTATTGATGATTTATAAAGTAATCTGTAAAGTATTATTATGTCGTGAATTGGGTTAAATACCATGTGTAAGAAGTAAGGATTTGTTCTAAATATTCAGTCATTTAATTTTAAACGACTGTGCCATCTTTCCACAAACCTAGCACACTAACTTACTCTGACCCCTATAAAATTACTAAATTCTTGAAAAGACAAGTTACAGGCCTGTGGATATTGCATGGTTTAGTGACAATTTTTCTAGAATGCTTCACAACTCATCCTCATTTTTTATAAAGCTTAAAACAAATTATAAAGTGGTGTACATATTTTATCTATTTTAGGAACATGGCAAGACCATAACAACCCTTGATCCTGAACAAATGAACCTGACACTGTGTTTCTGCATGACGACAGCAAATTGAAAAGTCCAATGTAGTTATAAGCCGGCCCCCTCTCTCACTGACATCACAGGAAGTAATTGCACTTCCTACTTCCTTTCTACTTTAAAAAGCTTCTTGAAAACCTCAACTGAAGGATACAAAACTGTGTCCATAAACATGTGCATACAGACCCATATACGAAACTTTGAATGGAGCTATTATTATTATTATTATTATATTTATAGAGCGCCGTCAAATTCCGCAGCGCTTTACAATGGGTGGGCGAACAGACATGTAGTTGTAACCAGACAAGTTGGACACCCAGGAACAGAGGGGTTGAGGGCCCTGCTCAATGAGCTTACATGCTAGAGGGAGTGGGGTAAAATGACACAAAAAGGTAAGGATAGTATTAGACTAGTGACAGTTGCAGAAGAGGAATCAGTCGGGAGCTATTAACAGTTTAATTGATACGCTTTTATGAAGAAGTGGGTTTTTACGATTTTTTGAAGGAGTGGAGGCTGGGTGAGCATCTAACGGAGGAGGGAAGCGAGTTCCACAGGAACGGTGCAGCCCTCGAGAAATCTTGAAGGCGAGCATCAGAGGTGGGAGTACGGACAAAAGATAGACGTAAGTCTTCAGCAGATCGTAAGGGCCTAGAGGGACATACTTGTGTATAAGGGAGGATAGATAGGTGGGGGCAGCATTATGTAGAGATTTGAAAGCAAGAACCAGAATTTTAAATTGAGCTCTATATTTTATAGGAAGCCAATGTAGGGACTGACAGAAGGGTGAGGCATGGGAGGTGCGGGCGGACAGGAAGATGAGCCTCGCCGCCGCATTCATTATGGACTGTAACGGCGCTAATTGGGAGCACGTAAGACCACTGAGAAGCGGATTACAGTAGTCAAGGTGAGAAAGGACAGTGGAATGGACCTTAGTCGCATCTGGCGTTAAGTAGGGGCGGATGACAGGATTTGGCGATAGATTGAACATGAGGCTTGAAGGAGAGGTCGGAGTCAAAGAGATCACCTAGGCAGCGAGCCTGCATGGTGGAGTGGATGGTAGCACCGTTGACTTGGAGGGAGACAGACACACGAGTAACAACACTTGAGGGAGGAAAGACCAGAATTTCAGTTTTGGTCAAGTTTAGTTTAAGGAAGTGGGCAGCCATCCAGTTAGAAACAGCAGAGAGGCAGTCAGAGACACTAGTCAAGGGGGACGGGGAGAGATCAGGAGAGGACAGGTAGATTTGCGTGTCATCTGCATAGAAATGATATTGGAAGCCAAAGGAGCTAATGATAAAGCAATATAATAGCATTGTAGTGAGACACACAATAATAAAAAGTCCTCTAAAACACCTTAGTGAGAGTCCCTTTCACCTCACAAATAGATACGAATACATACAATATAAGGTGGAGTGTCTTTTTATTATAATAAATATTCCGTATCTCTAAAAAACAGAACAAATAAAGGCATATGATTGTCTGTTATATAAAAAGGTAATAGTAGGAGGAGTATCACTCACAAGTGCAGAGCCTGAAAGTATGGCTCAATTTTCCAGTATTGTGGGATATGAGGTTCCCACTGCCTTCTTTGTGTGGCTGGTGATCAAATATTCCTCTCAGGAACAGGTAATATAAGTGCTTTATTATAAAGTGCACAAAAAATGTAACAAATTAAAAAACATAAATAGAAATAAAAATAAAATTACAAGACCTTACAACTTGAAGGTGAGTAGTATGAAGAGTCTTCGGTTCAAAGAGTCTATAGTGCAAAACACTATTCACCTCTTATAGAGGCTTCATCAGTTGCTGTAGAGTGTAAAAAGAATGTTCTTTATATACTAAAATTTCAGAGTGGTCATGAAGATCAGCTGATTTTCGGCGTCCTCGTTTCACTTCCGGTTTCCGAGTTGTTGCGTTCCACTGGTGGATCGCAAATGACGTCATTTTCGATGGTGATTTCCTATCTCCGGCATTTGTAATGTTAGTTCCGGTTTCCGGTTTCACTTCCGGTTTGCGTTCCAGCGGTGGAACGCAAAACGTCATAATCCCGCGTGGATATCGGTGGGACCTCCGCCATGCGGAGCTAATAAGTTTACCAAGGGAGGCAGTATGAGCTATGAGTAAGTTAATAGTAATTACTGGACAGCTATCAGTTTAAGTAGCAGTTTAATTCTTGTTGCATGATCTACACTGACCTGATCGTGATCCATATAATCAAATTCTAAAATCTGATTCCACTAAACATGTGGCAAAAGTTATAGCAACGTTGGAGAAAAGGGTTTTGAGAAAGAGTCAGTTACAACAATACGAAGGCATTATGCATCGGCAAGAGACCACAACGTCTGTGTTTGGCATTGCTCTTCCGTTAAACAAGAGTTGCTCTTATTAATACCTTCTTTATTTGTGTCTGAGAATATTAACACGTGTGTAGACTAGAAACAATAACTGCACAAAAGATTCTCAAAAAGATAATCATTTAATCTATGCCTGAACAAATTAATTTCTCCAGGATTTACCTTTGGAGTTCTGTTCATTGAATAAGACTCCACAGGTAAATCGCGAAGAGATCGACTAGTTTGGGCGAAGATTAAAAGGAATTTGATGATTTGTTTGATCTGACTGAAGTCTATTCAGCACTACACCAGAAGAATAAAGAATGTTTTTCTCTCGAACACTTACGAATTCACCTGTTTTTTTTTTTTTTTGACCGGATGAGTTCACTTAGTAAAAAGTTAAGAGACTAATGAGAGCTAAGTCTAAAAAGACAGAGCGGTGACGTAAACTGCAACTTACTTCTTTAATCCCTAAAGATAAAATTATGTTTACTGCTCATTTAGAAAATGTGTATTAGCAACAAAGAGGGCTATTTAACAAATTGTGAATTGTTGGAAATTCCAGGTATATTCATCAGTGACTTTCAAAAATTCTTAAATTTTTCCAGAATGTTCTCATTTTAACCTAAATTTGAATTTTTACATTTAATTCCTGCCCCTCCTCCCCCCTAAAAAAACCAAAATATCACACTTTATTTGGGATACGTAACACAAATGCCACAAAATGGACATAAAATGATCAATTTTGTATTTATTCATGATAAAATGTAATTTTCATTTATCTAGCAATATATACGGGTTGCCATATTATATCAAGGTAAGAGGCAAATATAATATCCTACATTATTTTAAATGTTATTAATTTATTGTCAATTTCACTATTTTTGTTTCATTTCTTAAATAACAGATTAACAGATGTTAAAAAAAAAAAGTGTGGATATTTTGACTTAATCCCAGTAAATAATATTTACACATTTTCTGTTTTTCTCCTGATATTTCCATTATCCCTATTAAATGTATTTCCAGAAACCGCCGCAGAGGACAAGAAATTTGTGGTAAAGGCCAGTTCGGTAAACAAACGTTTTACCCACAATGCTCTACTCGGCCTGTCTCTTTCTAGCTGTGACCTATTCCTAGCTCGTTATTCTAATTAGTTGAACAAAATCACACATATAGTGAATTATTCTCAGATGTGTCAGATTGCTCTGACTCTGTAACATCTTCTGACAGAGGTTTTAAATATCTCGGTGGAGCTGGGAGAAAGCTCTATTCTTGAAATCCATACCTTTGATTTGTCATATATTCCTTGCAACAAGGTCATCGGATTTATCCTGAGTCTTAACCCTACCAGTGAAAAAAAAATTAATAATTTTAACATGAAAAGAAAATTTGTCTGTTGCCAGAGCTAGTTGGTTAAGCCAATGTTTTACAGAGCAGAATGCGAAGAGCACATGTTTAAAGAACTAATACAAGGGATTACACCTCCCTTGATGCTTTGCCAGCAGTATGCCTGTAAGAGAATTATGGGGGTTGTAGTCCACAACATCTGGATTGCCAAAGGTTGCCTATTCCTGTAATATAAACCAAATTTATCACTACAGACCTCTTGCCTTTGAAAGGTTAACATAGAAATGTAGGTGGAGATTTAGAAAAGTGTTTTTGTAAGTGTAACGGGGTTACATAATTATTTGCATGAACACTACAATGAGACATGCCAGAATTTTTTCCAAGAACCCAGTTAATTATACCCTGAAAAGAATTCTCGTGAAGGTTTATATGTTTATATTTATCTATTTTATAAATACAACATCTAATAAATTTTTTATCAACCAAAACAAGCTCAAGAATATAAAAAGTTAGCTAGTACCAATGTTTGTTTACTTATTGTGAAGAATTTTTGTGTCACTGCATGACCATAGAGTGTAAGCTCACATGCCAACATCAAGAAAAAACACTTTGAGTTTATGGCAACACTTTGAGTTTTTGTATTATCTTACTATAATATAATATATCACTATATTTTATGTATTACATGGTAATATAATATGTATTATCTTATATGATAATATCATATTATATTTTCAACATTTATACTTTGTTCTCCCCTAGACAGAAAATCTATAATGAGAAAAGTTAAGATTTTATAAGATCCTACCCACTAATTACTGTAAGCAGGGAACACATTTATACATTGATGCAGAATACAGTACTCTGTGCCGCTGCCTGGGAGTGATGGGAGTTTAAGTGAAGGTTTACCATGTTTGTTTAACTTGCAATAACCTTAAAACTAGCAAATTATCACAGGAAATTGTATTTCCACAACAGATGAGGATCCATGTTTTGATCTAGAGGAGAGAGATAGGTTCGTTTTTTTTAGACGCACGGTTCACGTTGTTATTTTAACCTAATTCCTTTCTCTCCGGCGAGAATATAAAAACAAACCCTGTACACCTGAAACCGAATAATGTAGATCAGGATTGAACCTCATTTCTGAATTCAGCCCAGTTCTCGGAGGTCTGTGTGTGACTGAACAATCTTAGCTTTGTCCTAATGTTGTTGTCAGGAAGCTACCATCGATGTTATCTCCAATTATTTATCCTTGCTGTACCTGGTATATGAAACAGTTTTTAGAGCAAGTAACTCAGCCAGGACTATTTAATAACACAGAGTATTGTCTTTCAATCCTTGCTGCAGTCATTTTTCTGTAAGTGCTCAGCGACCACTAGTGAGCCGTCGTTAACACTTGTCCACTTTAACACAAAGCAAACTCTTTGGAGACGAGAAATTGCAAGGTGTGTTTTAGTCTGTAAAGTCTGCAATCCTTTTGATTATTTCCCCCCTTTTTTTTTTCCATCTATCCCCAAAAGGCACGGGTTTATTCACTGAAGTTAGACTTGTCAGGAATTAAAAATGTATATTAAATTTAAAGGCCAAAGCAGTTCAACCAGAAGCATAGATGATTTTCCATTTCAGCTATTTTGGCCTTAAATTTAAAGTTCTCTTTGAATTCCAGACAATTCTCACTTCAGTAAATAACTTTACCAGAGTCCACAAAGGGTGGTCTACATCCTGGGAGCTCTCACTCTATCCATGTTGATCTCTTGGTAATGATATACTCTAACAGAAAACTGCATGGGCTCCCAGCATCAAGTCTGGACCTGCGGTTATAGATTTTTGGTCTAACCTTTAAAGGACCACTATAGTGCCAGGAAAACATACTCGTTTTCCTGGCTCTACAGGCTCCTTGGGTCCCCCTCACCCTCTGGGCCGGGCTCTAGGGTGAGGAAGGGGTTAATCCCTTACCTTTTTTCCAGCGCCGGGCTCCCTCGCCGCTGGGGACTCTCCTCCTCCTTTCCCGTCATCGGCTGAATGCGCATGAAAACGGCTATGTTTACAGCAGAAAGGGTTAATCCTAGATGGACCTGGCACCCAGACCACTTCATTAAGCTGAAGTGGTCTGGGTGCTTATAGTGGTCCTTTAAGCCTCTACTGTTTACAATAATATTTTGCAGAGAAAGAACCAAACTATAGAATAAAGTGTACATTAACAAAACTGCACTACGATCCTCCCCAATAAGCCAGGAATAGTCCTTGATTTTATCCATTATGTAGGAGCAAACAGAGAGCTCCTGCTGCAGAATGAGAGCAAGAGATTTCAATGCGAGGAGATTGTATAAACCGGGAGAAGGGTTGTTGAACTACATCTCCCATAATCCTTTGCCAGACTCAAGTCCTACAGAAGCTGTGTATCTACCTGTGAGTTATCCAGAATTGAAGGTGTATTATGCAGGTTGACTATAAAATCTGATATATTTCATAAACATGCT